CCTCCCCCTATTAAAGCTATTAATTAAAAATAATTATAAAAATTGAATAAAAATATTGAATATATTGAATAAAAATCTTCTTTAAAAGAGAAAACTTACGTTTCCAGCTGTAGTTGTCCTATCTTTTCGATATCAGGCTTGGACATCATAGCACACATCGTATTACAAAACGAATCCGAAGCTACAAATGCTTCTTCTTCCTTGGGACGTTCATGCTTTGAAGTCTCGTGACTTGAACTGCAAGAAACTCGAGAAACTGGTAATTTTTCTCCTTCAGTTGATGCCCTAGGCTGTACTTCTTCCTTCATATCTAACGTCCTTGACCTTATCAATATAGTTTTTAATAACTTTTCAGTCTAAATTCTAGATAAATTGAAAATAATAAAGACGATTCTCTATTGTTCATCCGTCCGCCATGTTTTGTCTCTTTTTCATTTCTAGTTTGGGATTCCTGTGTTTTAAAAACACCCAGGGATCCCAACTAAAATAAAAATACAATAAACTAATATATATTGAAATTACTTTAAATAATAACAAAAGATTAAGCATAAATAATAAAACAATAATAACATAAAGTTATAAAATACTAATAGAATAATGAAAATCAATAGTGAAGCAATGAAAATAACAATAAAATGTTAATAAGAAATGAAATAAAATAAATACTACGATATTTATATGTGTTAGACTATATTACAAATTGAGTCTAAAATATCCAGAATTTAATGTGTACTAACTAGTAAATAGAGATCAAATAGTTAATAAATAAATAAATAAACTTAAACAAAACATCCGCGCAGGACTGGGCTGAGGTAAATACCGCTGAATAACAAGTATCAAGGTTGTCATTTAAATTTGGCGGGAACAAAAGTTAAGCAGATTAATCAAGAAGACAATTTAAGTTATCTTTAAAACCTAGAATTTTACAAAAACCCTCAATAGTTACCAGCGTATATTATTTAGTGTAGAATACTTCGGTGTGTGATGCATTGAGATGTTCTGCATGAATGAAGTACRCTAAGTATCCCGCCTGGGTCGTTTTACGGCGGCTATGACCTCTGAGCCAACAACATTTTGATCTCAATGAGTTTTCGCTGGATATCTTATTTTTAACGGTCATTCAGTTAATCAGAAGTGTCAAATACAAGTTCTGATGTGCTGTTATGGATAGAAAATCAAAGTTGTCACTGAACAGGAAAATAACTTCGAATTATGTGGAAGAAAATGATGATGTCGAAAGTGATGGTGAGAAAGCTTCGAAGAGTCGTACTAACGTGGTCACCGTGAAGTCTAGCAAAGCAAATACCACAGCTGTATTCAAGTCTGGCACTAGGAACAGCAAAGATGTTTCAATAACTGAGTCAAAGTCAAAGGAAATTACTCCCCAAGTGAAGAGATCGCGAGAGAAAAACCACAACATATCTGGAATAGTTTCTCCAAAGAAACGCAACAGAACTATATTTGATTGTTGGGTGAATAACCCAAGAAAGTCGCTAGAACCAGCTAAAATCGTTCCCTGTCCAGCTTGTAAAACAGAGGTTTTATACGCTGACATTAATAGCCATCTGGATGGGTCTTGCAAGGGTGGTACGAATGAAGACATTGAATGCAAACGGACAGGAGAGCTTTCAGAAAATGTGCGAGAAAACAAACCATTTATACCTCCTAAAACTAAACAAAGAATTTCAAATACTATTGCACATAATAAGTCTAACACTGGTCCAATAAAATCTTTAGGAGAAATGAATATAAAAAATTCTATGACCGATATATTATCTGATCAAACAATCAAGCCAAGCCCAAGTAAATACTCAAGTCAGAACTTAATATCTTCAAACAAGAGCCCTGAAATTACTCCTATTGATGTTGATGAAGATGAAGAAGATATTTTGGAAGGATTAAATAATGAGCTTGCAAATCCTCTCCTATTAAGTGACCTAGAATCAGATGGCAAGGCAAGTGTTGAATGCCCAGAAAATTTATTGGAAATGAAATCTGCATTGAATAATGAATTGGAAAATGAAGAAATGGGGAATAAGAAAGCAAATATTTCAGATAATTATGAAAATGACATTTCTGATGATATGGAATTAGGTAAAGATTGTGCAAGCAGTGACTCTGAGTTCCTAAATGGTTGCACCCTGAAAGTTGCCGATGATACTGAATTGACAGAGGGAGAAAGCCTTGATATGATGGAGGAAAATAATGATGCTACAGTAAATCCAGAACAACTTTCAGATCCAAATTACTTAGCCAACTTCAAGCTTGTTCTTGACTCTGTGCTCTCAAACGAAGAGGACAGAAAGTTGTTCAATGATGCTGACCAAACAATCATCAAGCAGTTTCAGGAGTTTCAACCAGCAGCTCAAAAACTGTATATTCGATTGTTTCAGAGAAAACCTGGATGGTTTAGATGTTCAAAGTTGGTTTATTCAAAGATATCTGAGGATCTTACCCCAGTATTGGATACTCTAGTGCACTCAGGTGGGTGTGGGTAGTTTATCTGTTGTATTTGGGAGCAAGGGTGGCATAGCACTAGTGCATTCTTGCATTTGGGGTCTCAGGTTCAGTTAATGGACTCAACATTCAAGGTTTTCTCATCAGTCTCTCCATCCCCCCCTGTCCTCCTCCTCCCTCCTTAAAACTTTACACACTACATATTCCAATCCCAATTTATTGTGAGTTAGCTTTACCCTGACATTAATCAGCCCAGAAGTTATTTCAGGTCGTTGCAGGGTTCGATCTGTGAGCTAGCAGTAACCTAATTTTAATCAACCCAGAGGTCGTTGCAGGGTTCGATCTGTGAACTAGCAGTAACCTAATATTTTAATCAACCCAGAGGTTGTTGCAGGGTGCGATCTGTGAGCTAGCAGTAACCTAATATTTTAATCAACCCAGAGGTCATTGCAGGGTTCGATCTGTGAGCTAGCAGTAGCCTAATATTTTAATCAACCCAGAGGTCGTTGCAGGGTGCGATCTGTGAGCTAGCAGTAACCTAATATTTTAATCAACCCAGAGGTCGTTGCAGGGTTCGATCTGTGAGTTAGTCGTGCCCTGATTTTGATAAGGCCAGAGATTGCTTCAGGGTTTGATCTGTAAGTTACATATACCCTGACTTTGATGAGTGCAGA